AAAAACCTAAAGCAATGATACACCGAAGGAGAAACTAGGAGCGGGAAAGGCTACTCACTTCTAAGTGCTCTAGCGTCTCTTAGAAAACCTCCACGGTGAGCTGAAGATGAACACGAGGACATTTTAGGACCTATTCATCATCCACACCACTCGAGAGACCGGTGGTGTAGTGAGTGACGTGTTGGGGAGCTAATCGCAAGGTCAGCAGTTTGAAACCTCCAGCCGCTCTGAAGGAGAAAGATGAGGCTTTCTACTCCTGTAAAGACTTACAGTCCTGGCAACTCACAGGGGCAGTTCTGCCCTGTTCTCTGCCCTGCAGGGTCACTAGGGAGTCAACTCGATGGCAGCAAGTCTGGTTTTGATTATCACCCACAGCTCCTTCTGTGAGCAGCCATTTTCAAAGAAAAAGCAAAAGCAGAACGCTGGTCTTGGGGAGGGCCAGACAACCGCGACAAACTCTCGATGAACTGGGCTGGAAGTCAGCCTAGCTCCTGCTCGTCTTATTGTCAAACAGCCATTTTTCACTGCCACCCAAGGGGGAGTTAAGTGCCTGAGGCAAATGGACAAATCTGAGGATGTTCGCTCTTCCTGGGAAAACACCTTTATATTCTCGTGCGAAAGACAGAAAGGCAATTAACAATTCAATATAATAATCTTCCTGGGTAATTGTTACGATCCTTGCTTTTAGTGTCTGAAGTGGAACTGCTTTTCAAAATGACAGGTAACACTGAGGAAACAATGACCTGGAGGGAGTGGGTGATGTGAAGCTTTCTGGCTACGGACAGTGTTTTGCTTCTTAATCTGGGTAGTATGAAGGTTGGTGGGTACGGGCAAGTCAAAAGTACTGCTGTTATATAAAAATATCAAAATGCAGTTACTGTCGCTTGACAGCCTCATCGAGGTCTCTACATTTCTGTACGTGGTGTTTGTCCCTCTAAGCCAGCCCTAAAGAAGTCTGCGCTCTTCAATGCACGCTACATCAGAACAGCAGCTTTGGCATCCTCGAAGGACTCAAACCCCTGCTTGTCATTTTCCTGTGAGTTTGGAGATCAATGAGAAGATGAAGATCAGGGGTGTAGGGTACACCGGGTTCCGTTCCCAGTGCAATTCTCACAGGAGACAGCACTTGCTCCCTTCAAAGAATTAGCAGGTGTATTGTCAGGATGGGAAGAAAATTCCTGGGAGCAACTTGGCTGGCTTTCCCCCTCACAATGCCGTTTTCCCTTTGCTGAAAGTGCTCCCATGATTGTCCCGTGTCCTTCAAGAAAGCCCATCCAGTTACCGCTTTGGAACCCCCTAAACACCACTACGGGACAACGAAACTCATCTGCTCCCTTCCTTAGGCAGCAGAGCGTCAAGTTTTAATAATCATGTCTTCTAAATGGCCCATGGGTTGTTTCTTCTTCTTCCGTAATCAAAAGCATTTGAAATCAGTTAGCACTAGTGATTCTACAGGAGGAAGTTCTGACAATCTCTTCCTGTAAAAATTATAGCCTAGAAAACGGTAAGGGCCAATTCTAGCTACTCAGTTACATTGGGCCGCAATGAGTAGTGGGCAATGCAAGGAACCCTCACGCAAGAGCACACCCGGAGAGAGTCTGCAGCCTCACGCCCACCTAACAAGAAATTCCGAAGCTGGGGACACCTGATACATCCCATCAACTAGGCTTATAAGGGTTTCATTAAAACCAACAAAAAAAGCCCACACAATTATTGAGCTTGATGGAAAGGCTCTGCAAACTCACAAATGACCTTAATTTCCACCTTGGTCATCTGTAATTAGCTCTAAGACACAGTGAACACTTCTCTTTAGGGCACTTGAGGCATTATTGATAAGAAGTAGCACAAGAGACAAACTGCAAGAAGAAAGAAGCCTTGTAGAGATCTATCACCACACAGTCTACAGCAGCGGTTCTCAACCTGTGGGTCGCGACCCCTTTGGGGGTCTAACGACCCTTTCACAGGGGTTGCCCGGTTCATAACATAGCAAAATTACAGTGATGAAGTAGCAAGGAAAATAATTTTCCTCACAACGTGAGGAACTGTATTCAAGGGCCACCCTGGCCCCGCCTGCCCGAGAGGCTTCTCTGGCCCAGGCGGTGCAGCCCTGGGCTGGGGCTGGGGCACTGGCAAGGGCTGCTCCCCCGGCGGAAGAAGTGATTTCTTCCTGCATTGCAGAAAGTGGGATGCAGAGAAGGGTAGGCTGGTGAGGGACAGTTGCTGAGAACCACGTCACCATGTCCAAGGACACCAAGATGGACAGCGGCTTTAGTATTAAATGCACCGGATAGAAAAAAGGAGGAGATAAATGGAGTTAGCAACATACAAAAACTCTCGGTGTGACGCACTTAGGAAAACTTCACACAAACATATAACCCGAGTTGTTTGCCTGAGACACAATAGACCTTTTCTAACACCTCTCCAGGGTGCCAAGTCAATAATTCTACCTTGCTAACTTTCTGATCTTGTAGGTACATAAAAAAAATGAGGAAAGATGTCTAGCAAGATAACTCTTATTAGCAAGATTAAAATGGAAAGCCCCACAGGGCTCACGCTAGATGCCGCCAACGCTGGCTGCACAAGAGAACCCCCAGAACACCAAGGTCTGGGCTCCGACTCAGCCAACCAGAGTCCCTGGGGCAGTGCCCAGACAGCTGGGGGTCTGAAAGGCCCCCCAAAGTGATTCTGATGCATAATGGGGGTTAAAGACAAGATGGGGGTGGGGTGGGGTGAATCACACTCTTTTCCTTTCCCCTCCTTGTCAGAGGCAACCCAAGCTACAGCGATGGAAACTGATGAGAAGAGGGTTATGTCAGTTCCAGAGGAATTTGATTTTTATAATCTAGGACAACATCTGCCTGAAAAAGAGCCAAAGGAGACAACGGAGAAGTCTCAATATTAGAATTTCTAAACGAATTCCTCTGCAGAATAAAGGCAATCTTCGGTGAAAAAATTTAAACATAAAGTTGCCCACCTAAATCTCGTGCTAGGGAAGCGGGTATGTGTCATGGGAAGATTTCTCACAGGTTGGAGGTTGGCATTCAGAAAGAGCCAGGCCATCAGGGAATAAGGAGACAGCTGTCTGTCTGAGACGAGACTGTAAGGGCACATGGACAATGCCTCGAAACCTTTCCCCAGTGTCTGCCAAAGTGATCCACTCTTGTCACAGAATAGAAAGAAAGAAAGAAGGGCTTCAAAGATTCATAGTTCAGTGACAATAAGGTGGCAGGGGGAAGGGAACAGCCATTTCTCAAAAGCCCTTAATGACAATGGTGGCTGTATTTTGACTGATATTATCTCATTGGATTCTCCCAACAGCCTGATGAGGAGTTATAGACTATGATGATCATTTTACGGCTTAAGGAAACCAAGGCACACAGAGTTAGGAAACTTGCTCAAAGTCACGCAGCTGGGAGTGAAAGAGCTCAACCCAGAGGGCTTCTTCCGGAGCCTGTGCTCCTAACCAGTGCACTACACCGCGTCTCGGGCCGCTGGGTGTGGGTGGGTGTCTGTGACGGACTGGGTGTCAGGTGGCGAGTGAGAAGAGGAAGGGCAGCAGAACAGAGGGCAGCATCAGGGCAGTAGGCTTGGGAGGATAGAATGAAGTGTGGGGACTTGGAATATGTACCCACAGAAGAGGGAGATGACCAATTTTCTCTAAATTCCCTTAGCTGGGATTATAATGTATATGCCACCTCTGTGAGAAATAGTTGTTAGGTAAATCAGGCCAAGCGCAAAGGAGAAATCCTAGCAGACGAATCTAACATGCTAGGGTGTGGAAGAGTTAAGATGAGCTAGGCGCAGGGAGACTCTATTGAATGTGCTTATCAACCCAGTAACCATATACACAGGGAAATAAAGGGCTTCACCTGAGGGGCTGGGGCTTTTCAGTTGATTAGGGAAGTATCCTCTCATTAGCAGAGACAGTTAAAATCCCTGAACAGAGAGCATGAACTTCAAGTCATCATAGAGGTATAGCTCAAATTGTAAGCAGTAAGTTGATGTTCTGGTTCATTGTCAACTCAGTGTGAGTTTGCTTAGGGGAAGGGCTGAGGCAGCTTTTCTGTCTGTCAACATGATGAAACAGAGGAAACTGCAGAGAGATCTGCACAAGTACAAATTCCTTCAGAGGCTGGCCAACCGGACTTGGCAGTCTTCCCTAATTCTAGACACCTGGAAGGGGATTTTGTTGAAAAATCAAATTACAGGGAATTTTCACACAAAGTTTTTTGAAGCCCCTTCGGAGTTTGACATTTTTGTTTTTTTCTTATCTAAACATCTTCCTCAAGTGGAACTGCCAGGAGTTCCAACCAACCATATTCTGCCTTCATGTTGCTAAACCATGAATTGAGCACGGAGCAGATAGGAGAGGGGCTAACGTCAAGGGCCACGATGATCCACACACTAGACAATAAGTCTGGCAGTAAATTAAAGCTGGCTACAAGTTAGGATAAAAATAAAGTTGTACTGGAAAAAAAGTGCACATGTCAGGGTGACCTTATCACGTCTTGTTTTTACTGTGTGTTGTCAAACAACAAACACGACGAGTCAGCAGGTGTGTCATTACAGGGACCAAATATAGCCTTTTTAATATGTCAAGCAAACAGAAAAGGAAGATACCCCTGATTTATAACTGGCTATTGTGCGCTCTTTAAGGGTTTATACAGGCAGATTGACCCTGTTTGGGATCTAGAGCTTCTCTCGAGCAAGCGCATGGGTCCAGGACGGCTGCAGCAAGAGTAACACAACAGGGCAAACATATGATGTGGGAAAGGTTTGAAGTGTTTGCAGCGTAGGAGGAATTTCCCCAACTCCTACAAGGAAACCGAAGCCTCTTTCTTGGCAAGACGAGCCACTCAGAAACAGGGAAGTCCTCATGGTGCACATCTGGACCAAGAACGCTGGCAGTTGAGAGCTTTTCCTAGAGGCAGGTAAAATATACTTTCATGAACACGGCAGTACAGACAGGAAACAGGAACCGAAAACTTTGTAAAGGATACGGTCTGTACCAGGAAACAACGTTCTTCCAGTCAACAGCTCGGCCATTATGCATCCCACTGACCAGATGTCAACTGGCAAAATTAAACAGAGAGAAAGAGGAGGGGTGGGGGGTGGGGGGAGAGCAGAAACAACATCACGATGATTATACTTGGCCAAAAATGGAGCCATACCTACAGGGGACACAGTTAAATTTAAAACCACTTGAGACATCTGAAGTTCAATTATAATGCTACCCCTGCCCTACCTCAGATGATAATAATAATAATAATAATAATGCCACCCGTGTCCCAGTCCCACCACAATAAAGGGCTTCAAAGGAGCGGTAATGCAAACATTAGTTAAGGCAAAAGAAATGAGAGTTGTTCACAAAGTGACAACAGCTCCTTGTTGTTATAGTGGTGGATTTTCCCAAGAAATAGAGGGGCTATGCCTATGCACAACTTGTCCGTAGGGATACTCAGAGAATATATTGAAGATGTGGATAAATTAAAAAAACCAAACCAAACCAAACAAAAAAATCCTCAGTGGTCAAAGAGTCTGAAAACTGTAGAAGTAATTTGGATGCCCCTCCTATTTGACCAAGTGAAATGTTTTCCTGTTTGTAGGCTTTCACAGGATCACTGAGGGACCTCCATTCCTGAGAACACACAATACACCAACAGGGCATGAGCAAGCCACTGGCTACCAAGGCGAGCAATACCTGTCTGGTTGTAATGCATCCAGTTCAGCATGATCTCGGGAGCCCTGTACCACCTGGTGGCCACATAACCTGTCATTTCATCATCTGTATGCCGAGCCAGTCCAAAATCCAGGATCTAAGGGAGAGGAGAAATTAGACACTGAAACAGACAAAATGCTATGATTTGTAAAGTACACAGGAAAATAACTCCGGGGCCTTACAAAAACAGAACAAGTAGTACTCCCATACACAGATTCCCCTCCCTTGGAATGCATGGCAAACACAAAGCAGGAAGTTTTAAAAATTAAAATTCTACAAAGCAAAATAAAACAACTCCTAGGTATTTAACCAAGACTCTCTGGGCTGACAGAAATGGAAACATTGTCTCTACATGAAGATGCACAGCTGCTTTATTTAGAATTGGGCTTCTCTATCTGATATTCAAAATATAATTTTCCTTTTGATGACTACATTACATTTCTGATTTAACTTTATCTTAAAATGAAAACAAGTTGCCTGATTTCACTTGCAATGTCACTGGCACAGCTTACTAAAGTCTTTATGATTTAAATTTCAAAATCTGATTTCCCTAAGGACAATGACGCCCCCCTCCATTTTATTTATTTTGTTGGTATACACACTGCATACCAATTCAACAGTTTCTGCATGTGCAACCTAGGGACCCTGATTAGGTTCTTTGACTTGTATCATCATCCCTACCTTTCTTTACTGACTATTCCTCCCTTAACAGCATAAATCAATTGTCCCCCTCAGGTTCCTATCTAATTGCTATTGCTATCCGTTATCCTGGAGAGAGTTCTTATAAGAGCACAATGCCCAGAGCAGACCTTTTTCTTTTTCATTGTCAAGTTAAACTATTGTTTGGTTTTAGGAAAACTTCAGGAGATATTTTTTGGTGTATGGTTTAAAGATGGTCTCAAGACAAAAGTTTCAGGTGTTCACCCCACTGAAAGTCGAGAGACCATGAGAACTTGTGCTGCATTCTCCCTCTTTTGATCAGGTTTCTTCTGTGAAATAATTGATCCAAAATGTTCAGTCATGACAGCCAGGCCCTTTTGGTCGCCAGCTAGTTCCTCTGGTCTCCTGTCAGTTGTTCACTGGGGCAATTAGCCACATGTTCCATGTCTTCCTTCGACTCCCACTTCTCCTCCATCCTCTGTCTTTTCAGGTGAAGAGAGATCTATTGGACCTTGAATGATCATTTGCAAGCTTTTAAGCACAAAGCACTATGCAATGAACTAGAAGGGAGATCAGAGATCAGAAACACTAGCCCTGTGATTAGGTCAATTGACCGTTCCTGTGAACTATGACCCTAAAACTCCACACCCAGGATCCCAATCCCACGAGGCTTTGGTTCTCTATAAGCAGACTTAGCAGCTATCCTTAAAAAAAAAACCAGTATTGCATTGAATCTATAGATTGCTTTGGGTAGTACTGACAACAATATTAATTTGGTTAGTATTAACAATATTAAATCTTCCGATCCATACACATAGAACATCTTTCCATTTGATGAAGCTTTCTTTAAGTCTAAGTCTTATGTCTAATGCTAAGTTTTCTTAGCCTTTTTTATACCTTTCCTTGTGTAAGTCCTTCACATACCTGGCTCGGTATATTCCTAGACATCTTATTCTCTTAGATGCTATTGTAAGTGCAATTGTTTCTCTAATTTCTCTTTCAGATGTTTCATCTCTAGTGCAGAGAAACCCAAGTAACTTTGTTTGTAGACCTTGTAATCTTCAACACATTACTAAATCCTTCTGTTAGCTCTAGAAGTTTCCTTATGAATTTCTTGGGATTTTCTATTTATAGAATCATATCATCTGATGAGTAAAGGTAATTTTACTACTATTCCCCCCTCGCCTAGTAATGGATACCTTTTACTTTTTTTCTTGTCTTACAGCTCTGGCTAGCCCTTTTAATACAATACTGAACAAAAGTGTAAAGAGTAGCACTTTTGCCCCCAATTTCAAGGAGAAAGATCATTCACTATTCTCCATTCAGTGTTAATGTTGGCTTTGGGATTCTCACATATACCCTGAATCATTCCACTCTTCTTTAAGGTTTTCATTAAAAAAAGAAAAGAAAAAGAAAAGGGGTGGGGTGTTGGATTTTATCAAAAGCTTTTCTGCACGCATATAGACAATCATGTGATTCTTTTCCTTTGTTATGTTGATGGGATACATTATGTTGCTTGATTTTTCTAATGTTGAACCACCTCTGCATTCCTGGGATAAATCCAACTTTGTCATGTTGTACGATTCTTTTAGCATGCTGTTGGGCTCTGTTCACTAGCACTCTGCTGGAGGAATTCTACATCTATAGTCATGAGGGATATTAGCTTCAAAGTTCTCTTTCTTTCCGTGTTGTCATTGTCTGGTTTTCTGTTTGATTCATAGAATGAATTAGCAAGCACTCCGCCCTTAATCTTTGGGAAGAGTTTAAACAGTACTGGTGTCACTTATTCTCTAAATGTTTGAAAAAATTCCTCAGCGACACCATCTGGTCTAGGTTGTTGGAAGACTTTTGATTTCTTCATTTGTTATGGACATGTTGAGACCTGTATTGGTTCTTAGCTCAGTCTGGGTAGGTCGTGTCCTTTTATGAACTTGCCCATTTCATCTAGATTATACAGTTCATTGCCATACAGTTGTTCACAATATTATGCCATATATCTTTTTTTCTATTGCGTCAGTTGTCGTGCCCCCGCTTTCATTTTTAAAAATTTTAGTTATTTCCACTTTTCCTCTTCTTTTTTTTTAATTTATAGATATCAACATTTATTAGTGGTTACTAGGATCAGTATGCAGAAAGTGGGGGGTTGGGGATAGGGGTGATGGAAATACTACAAGGATCATGGGGTGTTAGCTTGCAAACAGATTCTTGTAATTGCTGTCAATAAGGCTTAAAACTGTAAATAACTGAACAGGCAAAAGTTGTGAGATAGATAAACAAGGGGGCTTCAAAAAGTTTGTGGGGAACTTCCATTATTTTCAGATTTGTTTAGAGTCATCACTGGGGCTTCTTCTTGCTTGTGATTTCTTTGTTGGTCTGCTCTTGCACCGGCATGACCAGGACCAGGGCTTTCTTGAAAGCTTGCAGGTAACTGGAAAGCAGGTCTATGGTGAATTCTGCTTTGTTCTCAATTTTCTCCAGGTCGTAGTCTGGCTGCTTGGCCATCTCGGGAGAGCTGAAGTCAGGTTGGCCCTCGCTTTGAGCTGAAGACGTTCAAAGAGTCTTGGGGAGGAGGCACCGCGCTCAGGCTGCTGGCTCTTCTCTACTTTTCCTCTTCTTTTGTCAAATTCTAAGTTTGTCAATGTTAGTCATCGCCTCAAAGACCCAACTTCTGATTTTATTAGTTCCCTCCTCTTTTTTTGTGGCATTATTTACTTATGCTCTCATCTTTGTCATTTTCTTTCTTCTGATAGGTGGAGGTTTAGTTTGAGGGCAGTATGACTTTCAGATAAAATATTATGGCTCAATAAACCCATTTCCTGATGGCTGTGCAGATGGTCAAACATACAAGTTCTATGAATTTGAGCTCTCTAGCTCATTTCCTGCTTGGCTCTGTGGAAATTCAATAAGCAAACCACCACCAATGTCTGTCTATCTTACCTTCAACTCACAGTCTTCATTCACAGCTAGATTACTAGGCTTTAGGTCCTAGGAGGGAAGTCAGGAGAGGAGAGTGTCAGCTTATGATACCTCGTCAATTCTCTCTACTGGTAAAACCCTAAGGACCCACGAAGGGGTCTACCTTCCATATTTGAGATACCTTTTTTCATAAAGGTAAGACTTTATCTAGCTGTAGTCAACCTCTGTCCTATAGTCAGTAACTACTCCTAATTCGCCTTACGTAGACTAAAATTTTACATCTTCATTTCTAAAGCAATTTAAATGTATAACAAAGCCACAATAAAAATCAACCAAAGTTTTAGTTGGTAAAGTAAATTTAGGATATTTGTGAAATGTTATTCTTCCACCTCATGTCCCCAAAATAATTTAATCAAAGTACAATACATACCCTGTGAATTATGTCAGCTGAATGTATATACTGTGAAAAAGAAAAAAAATCGGGTTAAAAAAAGTTATTTCTAACTTCCTACTAGCATATACTTAGAGCATATTTTCATGAATTAATACGAACTGCCCACATAAACTGTGGGATTAGAAAGGAGAACAAGTAATTATTACTATTCTGAATACTTATCATTGATCACAACTTCTATCAATGGAGCTCTCTACTGTATTTTCTGGTTGACATTGGAATAATATGGACTCAAAGCTGCTACATATGGTTTACTTTTAAAACACCGTATCCATCTACCCTATAAATCCTCTCCCTTGAGAATTTTTAAAAATATCAATGCCACAACTGAACAGATGTTAAATGGTATCAAGAAATTATTAACTTCTCATATGTAAAACTGGAGAATTTCATGAAGACATTCATAACAAAGACTGTAGGTAGAATGATATGATGTCTATATTTACTGTAAAATAGTCTGGGGACTAGGGCAGACAAAAGAAGCAAGACTGGTCCTATGTTGATAATTGTGCACGCTGACCAAACATGGGCTCATTATAGCTTTACTTGTGATTTTGCGAGTGTTTGATTTTTTCCCCACCATGGGGGTGGGAGTAGTATTTTAAAGCCTTAAGTAGAAGGGACCAAGAGAAAGGATTCATTTCTCAAATTATTACTGACACTCTGTGTACCTTTAGACCTCGGAGAATTTGGTAGATAAGGAACTGTACGTGGTCATCCGTGAGCTTCTGACATTTTACAATGTTGTTCAGATCTGCCCCCATGAGATGGGTCACCAGATACCTAGAAATTAACGGAGAGTTACTCAATCATCCAGAATCCCCAGCAGGGTCACCTTCACAGGACTCACGTTTTTAAAGGAAAGGTCCTCCAGGTAGTCCCACAGTATCAGCTGAAAGCTTAAGAACCAGTCCTGGGACACTCATTAGCAATGTGCTACCCTAACTTCATCATCGGTCATCTCTTTTTAAAAGCACTCCTAAACGCATTCCTACTTGATGTCGCTTTTCCCAGGTTCTCCGAAGAGAAGAGCAAGGATAGAAATTAGAAAGATAAATGTGCCAACATCAATTTTCTTAAAATATGTCATTACTACTTGAGAAATCTAAAGTGTACTTAAGTACACAAACATAATAAATGGAATTTTATTTTTAAATTATTACCTTTTCTCATTATAAACCTCCTAAGGCATAGGTTTTAAAATAGGAGTATCTTTAAGTATTCAAACTACAATTCTTTTTTTAGAAGTTGGCAAGTCATTTTACAGAAATGCTGAATTACTCTGGCTATTCAGTGTCCTTAGTAATACAATATATTTATCATCTAATGGGTAGTAGAATAGACACTGCATGAAAAATGCAACCCTATCACAAATGCATTAGTACTAACTATTACACATGCTTAGAATTAAGTCTTACTCTTCACTTTCTTTTCTTTCTGACACAGCTTATGTCACTGTATCATTGGAATCAAAGAATGCATTAGGGGAAACGCTAACTCTCCTGGAAGACCTCTTCCATTCCTTATTTGAAATATAATCAAGTCAATGAAATGACAATTTCCACATGAAACATGTTACTAAAGTAACTCCAAGTAGTGTTGCATAGAATTTGCAACTGGTTCCCCATTGTGATTAATCATCAGGAATCGAGATTTTCTGCATGGCACCTGGTTGAGCTGTAACTACCTAGTGAGGAAGTACATCCAGGAATTGGGGGAAGGCTGAGATTTTCACTCTGCAGACACACCAGATTTGTTAGTGGAGGTTAAATAAATTCTTTTTAAAAGAATTATTGGTAAAAGTATTCTATTCAGGGACAGTATTTCTATATTTACTTTAAAAAAAAGGAGAAACATTTTATCTGTCCAAAACCTCTCTTTATAGGTGTGGTGCTGGTTATTAATCCCATCGTCATGTGGTAAGATTAGGGAACAATTACATTCAAGTCCAACAGGTTCATCATAGATACTCTAGATATGATGCTTTAACCCATCCATTACTACATTACTCAGACAGGGGAGCATAAAAACCAGATCTGTATTAAAAAGGTTAAATTAAAACCAAAAACAAGGATAAGTTTTCTATACAGCATAAGAATCATTCTTCATTCCTGAGGTTGAGTAATAATATGTCAGTTGAGTAATAAAGAAGGCTGATTTAATTTCACTTATATTTTAATAAAGTTATAAACTTGGAGGAAAAAGAAACCAGGCCAGTAAGTTTATATCTACTATTAATGCATTCATAGAATGCATTACATATACATATCTTTTTACATATACACTCACCCCACCCCCCACCCCTGTCCCCTCCCACTTTCTTCCCTCCAAAAGAAGTTGTTTTTCTCTGTCATAATGTCCCTTTGGGGTGCCATCAGTAGTTCTCACGGAGATCAATAGGGCTTAACCTAGAGGCAAGATGTTTATTTTAATATTTCACATTTCTAAAAATTACATATTTACATTGCCTTGAGGAAAGGGTGAATGAACTCTAAAGTATAAATTAGACTTCCTAACTTGTTTGCATAAAGGTAACCTATGTTATGTTCCAAGATCAATTTAACAGTTACTAGAAGGAGGGAGCACTTATTCTGAATAGTCTGTGGGGTCTATGTCTCAGGCACTCCTCCTGAGCACCCTGTAAGTCCCATTAGTGTCTCCATTTCAGCGATGAGGAAATGGAGACAGAACAAGAAGAAGTAACTCATTCAAGGTCAGGAGGTACAGTGATGTCGGGAGCTGAATCCAGTATGGTTGGGCCTCAGAAACCATGATCTTACACACAGCTCATATTGCCCCAATTCTTCCAAATGACACAGCAATTAAGTCAAGAGAATGACCTTCGAAAAAAAGGTGTTATAAATGTCACAACGATCAGGGAAGCACTATCTCCAGAGAATTTCCTTACCAATACTAAATATTTATTATCAAAGCTCAATGTGAACTAATAGATATGGAAATCAGGCGAGGGCATAGCACTATCCCATTCTGGTCCCTGTCACTGCGTTTCCCCCATTTAATCTCAGAGTAGCACAAATCTGACAACTATGAGGGAATACTGTTGTGAAGACCGAAGAAGAACCGATACATCTGAATTGTGGTGCTGGCAAAGCATGTTGATAGTACCAGGGATTGCCAAAAGGACAAATAAATCTGTCTTGGAAGACGTATTGGCCAGAGTGCTCCTTGCAGGCACGAATGGTGAGCTTTGCCTTACGTACTCTGGCTGTGTTGTTAGGAGAGACCGGTCCTGAGAGTAACACTGTGCTTGGCAGAGGGACAGTGCAAGAGAGGAAGGGCCTCAAGGGCTGCAACCAGGGGCTCAAGCATAGGACAATGGTGAGGGAGGTGCAGCGCCGGGCAGTGTTTGGGTCTGTTGTGTGCTCAGGGTTGCTATGAGGTCGGAACCAACACAGGGACAACTAACAACAGCAGAACACCAATTTTATCGGGGATCCCTTAGAAAACTTGAGATAACAGTTGTCATATCAATTATGATCAACTTCAAGGCTCCGGCTGAGAAGACGTTTACCTTCTGTCTTTTAAAACTGCTTTGCAAACAATTACATTTTAATGACACTAAGTAATAAAAGAATTATCCCAACTTTCCTAAATCATTTTCAGAAACATCTAAATCTTAGCTCTTCTTGAATAAAACCTACAAACCCTAACTCTCTAATGTGTCTGTGCTAGTTTACAAAGAAGGTAGCGAGCACACTCGCAGCCAGAATATTCTCCCTGTGAAACTCTTCTCCAAATAATCTTATCAATTTATAGAGCAGTAACTATTATGCACTAAAAGAGCCCTGGGCTCCACGTTGGGCTGCTAACCACAAGGTCAGCAGCTGCTCCTTGGGAGAAAGATGAGACTTTCTACTCCAATAAACAGTTATTGTTTCAGAAATCCAGGGGGCAGTGCTATCCTGTCCTATGAGGTGCTCTGAGTTGGAACTGATGCGCTGGCAGAGTTTGGATTTTCTTGGTATTAAGCACTGAGAAGGTGCCCTGGAACATAGCGGATTACAAGTCAGACTGCTAACCACAGGTCAGCTGTTCAAAAGCACCAGTGGCTCAGAGGGAGAAAGATGAGGTTTTCTGTTTCCATAGAGATTATGTGCAGAAACCTACAGGGGGCAGTACTCTGGTCTCCAGAGTTGCTAAGAATTAGAGCTGACTTAATGGCAGTGGTTTTGAGTTTTATTGAGCCCTACTGCTCCAGGCCACAAGATAATTGCTGGAAAATGCTGCTTATGTCTTATGGCATGAACGCAATCACTATATGATATTTTCACGAGGCCCAAAGACTAATTCACAACTGTCCACCTCATCACACGTAGGATGTTTTCCAAATTAAATTATTTCAACAGTAGACAAAAGCAAGCATCAAACTGTTGAACGCCTATGGGACACATACCCACTCCTAAAATAGAGAGTAAAGGGTAAAACATCAATGAGTTTGTTTTAAACAGGCCCCAAGGGGAACCACATAATCTCTATAGCATGTGTCTTGGAACACACATTTAATTATAACTTAATAAAGACATGCCTAATATTGTCCGTGTTCACAATACCTCAGATAAATTAATGAAGGTTTGCTTGACATGAGAACCACTGGAAAGCTATCTAGTCCTCCCATCTTTAAAAGGATTTATGCAAATGGGGCTTTATTGTGCTAGAGGCATCAAAGATGATCACACGGCCTGCCACAAATCTTGCTTCTCTCTCTCTCTTTCTCTCTCTCTCTCTGTGTTAGGATGGTCTCCTTTAAATTTAATTAAATCATAAAGAGTGTTAAATCACAATTTCTCAAAGCAATTATGTAAGTAAAATGCACTGTATGGACGAGAAGGCAGAATTCTGCAATTAGCAGTTTTCAGCACTCTAGACAGCACCCCATTCTAGAGCTTCATTTATTAAGCACGTCTTGGATAACATCCAATTGTCAAGTGAGCCTCCCGCCCACCCCACCCCGCCCAGCTCTTTACAAAGCATAATGCAAAAACAAAACCAACTCTTTAAAAAGCTCAACACCAAAACAAGACAGAGCAAAAACAAGCAACAACATACAGTGAACCCTCGCCACTTCGCGCTTCGACTTCCGCGGCTTCACTCTATCGCGGTTTTTGCGTAACAGCGCATGCTCTGTCATTA